GTGGACTCCATCATCATGGAGCTGCGCGAGCTGCACGACGAGCTGCGACGCCTTGAGGGGCCCTCCAAGGAGGAGATCGAGGCGGTGAAGACGGCCGTGAAGGTGCCGGGCAAGACGGATGCGCCTACCCTGTCGGAGGAGAGCCGCTTCCCGAAGTTGGCGGAGATCTCAGCTGGCAAGGACCTGCCATTCTTCTCCCGTGCAGAGGTTGCCAAGCACAACACAGCGGAGGAGCCGTACATGATCATCCACAACCGTGTCTACAATCTGAAGCCTTTGCTGGGCAGCCACCCCGGCGGCGACGACATCCTGATGTCCAAGGCGGGCACGGATTGCACCAAGGACTTCGAATCGAGCATTCGGAGAAGGCACGAGTGCAGCGAGACCGCGACTTGTTGGCGGGCCAGCTGGTGCCGGCAGAGAACACGGAGCAGCAGGTGGTCGGCGAGGAGACTTCTGAGATAAGACTTTCCAGAACTGCAAGCCTTTGTCGCAGTTCATCTACAGCCGGGCCCTGAGGCACCTGCACCTCATCATGGCCGTGGGCATCTTCGGTACTGTGGGCACCGCTCAGGCCGCGTCCTACTCGGAGGGTCAGGCCAAGAAGAGCGGCATCCCACTGCTCTTCCCAGCTTCTACGCCTTCGCCCTGCTGCTGCCCACGAGTACTTCCTCAAGTGGGCACCGGGCTCCGACAAGACCGGCAACGCCGAGGACGACCGCAGGAACGACCGCCTGGCTAAGCAGTCCATTGATGCCCACAAGGTCCTGGGCAAGGTGCTGCAGTGCGCCTGGCTGCCCTTCCACCTGGGCTACATCCTCTACCACTACTCCCAGGGCAGGGGCGTCGTTCGCAAGGTCTCCCCCTTCATTTAAGATGCATCCGTCATCACTAGACAGGAGGAGAGGAAGAACTGCTTCTGTCAGTGCTAGCTTGTCTCACCCTTTTTAACCGTCGGCTTCTCAAGACGGTCACATGCACAGTCGAAGCCATCATGTTTCGGGTGGGTGAATAAGTGGGTCGTCAGGTACAGCAAGCTGACACCTTTAAGGTGTCGGCTTGCTGTACCTGACGACGCGGGCTCAAGTTCAAAGACATGTCCACCAGGCGTTCGTGGCGCGACGGAATCTGGCGTGTCATTGAGAGCACAGTTTCGTTCAGCGTATATCAGCATCGAAAAAAGCTTGCTCCTGCATCGCGACTGGCATAGTGCTGAGCTGTTAGCGCAGGGCCTCGGGCCTCAGGGAGTCTGACTCAGCTGGCTGCACATGGGTAGCTCTCTAAGTTAAGGTTCTTTACCCAATGTGAGTCCTTCAGCTTGAGTCCTTGGAAAAGCTGGGACGGCTTGCCAAGGCCCTGAAGTCGGATGGCGAAGTCTGCTCTAGAAGAGCCTAAGACGAAAACACCACGCGCACAAAACGACATAAATACTAGTATGCGAATAGCCTAGATCCTAGGCCCTAACCCTGTAGTTCTCAAGCTTGCAAGCCTGAGCCCTACAACAGTCCGAAACCCAAAAAAACTCTGATCGCCGCAGCAATTGAAGTCTCCAGCGCTTCACGCACAGCCCTTGCTATTTCGCTTAGCTCCTGTGACCCACGATCATGGCAGCCAAGCCTACTGACGAGCACCCAGCCAGCGTGTCGTGGCAACATGTGTTGTGCCGTCTTTGATATATTATAGTCATAGTAGATTATGATGTACTACAGTTTGTTATAGTTTGCTATAGTATATTGCCGCATATCAGTATGTTATGGTATATTATCGTATCGTATAGTAGCGTATGGTATATTCTACTCTGATCTATTATGTTATACTAAATGACCCTCAGCCCTTGTTACTATAGATCCCTAAACCCTAAACCGTCAACCCTACACCCTGAGCCCTAAAGAATATCGAAGCCCAAACCTCCGAGTTTGTGACAGTGACGGCGGCGTGGTAGGCGTCGAGATCACAAGGGTCTAGGGCTTAGGGGTGTGCGTGCGCGCGCGCGCGCGCGTGTGTGTGTGTGTGCGTGTCTCTGTGTGTGTCGCTCTCTCTGTGTGTGTGTGTCTATGTTTTCGTTTGCAAGCCGCTAGGATGGAGTTTCAGGTGGATCGGGATAGCAGCATGAGGGTATGAGGGCTTCTTGATGTTGGGCTCCCTTCTGTCCTTGTGCTTGCATTTTTAGGATCCTGCTATGAGGTCTGCATGAGGGGCCCCCCCGATCCTCTGAAGTCCCGCATCCTGCTCCGAGAATCTGCAACCGGATTTTCCAAGCCAGGGCTCCCGGAATTTGTCCGAAAAAAGCGGCAGATCCGAATTCCTTTCATCCTAGCCCGACAGATCCCTTTGTCCTGAACCTCTAGCTCCATCCCAAACTCTACACCTCAGGGGTTCTTAAGCCTCTAAAACACCAAGCCCTACGTCTTGATTGCCTAGGTCCCTGACTTCAAGCAGAGAGTGATCCACGAGCCCGGCACTTCCGCCATCTCCAAGAACATCCCCCTCTCTGAGGCTGGTGTTCAGGGTTGTATATGGGCTTTCGGGCCTAGGGTTTAGGGTTTTAGGGTTTAGGGCTTTAGGGTAGTTTATATAATGGCCTAGTTCGGTTGTAAAATGGGTTTTGGGTTGAGGGTTTAGAGTTTAGGGACCATGTAAGAGAGTCCACTGGGCACGGTGCTCTCGCCGTTCTTCTCGTTGGTTAGCCAGTAGCTTCGCGAGAACCCTACGAAAGCCCTCAGCCCTAAACCCCGAAAGGCCTTTTCAGCCGAAGATCCTGAATCCTCGACGCAGTAGAGCCCAATGAAAGGGTTCCTTTGAAGGGGTTGCTTTAAAAGGGTTCCTTAAAAAAGGGTTCCTTTAAAAGGTTTCCTTTAAAAGGGTTCCTTAAAGGTGTTCCTTTAAAGGTTCTCTAAAGGGTTTCTGTAAAGGGTTCCTTGAAAGGGCTCCCTTAATTGGTAAGGCCCTATAAAGTCCAGGAGTTTAGGGGTTGGGCTTGAATCTCACTCTTCGGAAGCCTCTTGGGCTTGTTGAAGGTTGATCTAACCTCTTCGAAAGCCGAAGCGCCCTTGAAGCTCTAAACCCTTGATGCTGACTCTTACCACAGCCAAAAGTTAATAAGTAGAATAGGGCTTTTGGGGGTTTTATTGTACTTTATTCGTATTATTATTATTAGTATTATTATTATTATTGCAAGAAACCACCAAAATAGTACAGGTAATTGTTGAGGCCCCTATACTAAGATCGACTTTGAACCATTGCTGTGCCCCTATACGCTCTCAACCGCTGATGCACTTCTGCCCAGGTGAACCGTCATTGCACGCCTGAGAACTGCTGGGTGGCTCTGAACGGCAAGGTGCCTGGGGTTCTGGGCTTGCTGTCGGGACTTCCGAGATTAAGGGCTCGCAGCAGAGTTCAGAACATCGTATAAACACAGGCCTTAGGGCACATTGCCCTTGTGATCGGGCTACGCTGGGTCCACATGTCAAGGACAAGAGACATAATGCAGTGTACGCCCACGCGGATGTAGAAAAATACTGGGCTTGTTATACCACGACTCGTCCAAGCCCTAAACACCCAATCCCCCAAAAACGCAGCATCCTTGCAGGTCTATGACCTCTCGGAGTTCATGGATCGTCATCCCGGTGGCCCCACGACCATCCTTGCCTGGGCGGGGAAGGACGCCTCGAAGTTCTTCAACGACATCCACAAGGGCGTCAAGCTGCTCGGCTTGGGCTTTACGGAATTTGTAGGGCTTGGGGTTTGTAGGGTTTGGGTTCAGTGTTTAGAGGTCAAGATCGGCATTGCAGCATGTCTCATGCGTAGATGTGCACCTGGAAATCATGCACATGTCCCATGTGAGCGAGCAGGCAGGCAAGCGACGAAGTAAGTAAGTCAGTAAGCGAGGAAGAAAATATGCATTCCTGTCCATCTATCCGTGGGTCCCTGACCTCCATTGCATCTTTGCCTGTTTTATGTATGCACTGATTATCACCCTAAACCCTAAACCGGATTGATTTCTCTCCGACTGCATTCCCAGCAGCCAAGGATCGACGCCTACTTGCGACCGGAGGCTTTCTTGGGCGACCTGGGCGTGGACGA